CAACATTTTCTAACTGTAACCATTACTAGGTATTAGTGGCATAATTCAGTTGTTCCACTCTTTTTTTTCTTTATTATGTGGTATGTGGGTGTGGTATTTATGGGGTAGTTTTTTTTATTCCAATAGTGTTCTTTGTTTTTGAGGGACTCTTCCTTATTTTGTGTATTTTATGTGGCTGTGATGTGATGCTTGCACTGTCACTTATAATTTTTAGTTTTTACCTCTGTGTATTATTTTTATGAAAACAATTAAATATTGACTCTAGTGAGGGGCTTTTTTGGCACACGAAAAGGGCCAAGGTTGCTAAAAATAACTTCTATAACATGCAGGAGCTATTTAAAGCACATCACACCATTGCAACCAACAAACATTTTGCATGAAAAATAAGAAAAGCAGCTTTGTGGGTGAAGTAATATATCTCCATTAGCTCTCACTTCTTTATTAAGTTTGACACCTTTTACCAGAAAGCTGCAGTGATGCCTTATTGTTTCAGTAGTACCAAAGTCAGTTTGGTATGTTAGTGAATTACAAGACGCAATGTACACTGAAGCACTGCTAATGTTTTATCTGCAATCCAGTCTGTATGAAATGCACCAGCATACTGCACACATAGCATTCAGAGAGTTCTGCATCGTTAAAAAAATCAGTAGAAGGTTTTGAGAGAAACAAGTGCTTTTCTGCTCTATTGCTCAATAATCTTTCAGGAAAAGGAAAATATTTTTTTACAAAGATTAGCTGGTGGAAGCAGTGTAGAGGGGTATTTCCTCAAAATGGATTTACTGTATATGTTACAATGGACACACTATAACTTACAATGAAACAAATAGTTAAAGCAGTGGTTACCATAATTGGGCTTCACTTGTAGTCACTGACATCACCAAAGGTTTGTACATAATGTTCGTTATATATAATGCTAAAGAGGACTGTTAGAGACTGCAAACATACTAGAGGAAATGATGGTCAGACATTGTGGACATGCTACAGATTTGGTTGGAGACTGGAGACATGTTGCAGAAAATAGTGTGACATTGGGGGCATGTTAGGGGACAGTAGTAGAGATCACTGCTATTGCTCCTTTACAAATCAAAGCTCCCAATCCCACTCCAGATTTTTGGGGTCCCAGCACTGCACAGCAAGTACCAAAGGGCCAAATGTTGCCCTTGAACCTTAGGTTGGGCACAGGAGGGTTAAATAGTAGAACAAGGATTGGACTTTGTTGGACCACATAAGTTGCACTTAGCTCAAACTGTCTACAAATTTGAATTGAGATTTTACATGAAAAAGGGTTTCACATGTAGGATTGAAGGAAGAACACCAGGAAAGAAGTGAAAATCATTACTGATTTTCTAGTGCTGTACAGCAATTGTACTGACATTGGTGTCCTGTCATTTCCCATATCTTGAATTGTATGTTATGTAACCGAATTCCAGGATTTGTTTTATTAACCCTTGCAGTGGGGCTAGCCCCAGACTTGTTTATCTAGGTGCTAAAATTAACAAAGTTATACTCACCCAAAATTCCAAGCCGGCCAGCTGTCATGGTGCTCCCTACGGCCTATCGCCTCAGTGTATAGACTTTATGATTTACTGGATCTTAGACTGCTGCAGAGGAGGGGGAGAGACATTCCAGGGACCTGTCTAAGAAGAAGCCAGCTCTGAGCTTTGGGTGAGTTATTCTTTGTGTTTTTTTAACCTGGACACAAATGAGCCATTAACCCTTGCAGTGGGGGGGGGTAACCCCACTGCAAGGGTTAATAATACAAATCCTGGAGTTCTGCTTGAATGTAGGAGATTCCAATAAGACCTCTGACATGCTTTTGGTGCATCTATTTTCTCAGATTACTGTTTATGTTTCCTAATTGTTAGATAAAAGTATGTGACCTGAAAGTGTCTCAGCAATTGTTATGTGAACTGGTATACTACATTTATTCCTGGATTCATGATTGAAGTCATAGACAGACAAGCTATGGTCCATATATACATTACAAGATTAATTTTCAATTCTGATGGTGTGTACCTTTAATTTTTTTTTCAGTGCACTGCAGAAACAAAATAATTTATGTCAAGAGAATTGTGAAGTGCTTCTCAGACTCTACCTGCTGATTTCTCTATCACTCACTTATCAAACTCTAATCCTTTGCTCTGCTGAATTCTCCTTCCTCCTATTACATATGTTACATGGTATACTTGGCATAATTATTAGTATTTTGAATATATATATAT